TCGAGCAGGCCCGCACCAAGCGCCTGTCAAAGAGCGGAGAGCAAGACCCAGAAGCAGCAGAAGCCCCACCAGGCAAGCGTGTCTGCGCTGCCAGCCCAGCCCCTCTGCGAGGTGCCACCACAGGCGCTGAGGCAGCAGGGTCAGCTGCTGCGGCTGCGCCTAACGGCGCCGCGGCAGCTGCCCAACCAGAAGCAGGTGCAGCAGAACATGACAAATCAGAGGAACGCCGAGCTAGAGTGGGGGCCCACATCCAGGAGGCGCGAGAGAAGGTCTCGCAGGCCAGGCGCGCCGAGACAGTCGTCGACGCAGAAGGGCAAGGTGACCACTCAGCAGGGTAGCCGCCCCAAGGCGAGCGCGAAGAAGGCTCGCCGCCCTTGCCACATCGACTTCTTCAATGTCACGACCTGGGCCCCCCAGGCACAGGGGTACCTCATGGAGATCAACGACACCAAGGACAGGGGCATCATCGGCATCGCAGAGCACCACCTCCGCCAGCCTGCGCAGATAGGCAAGGCAAGGGCGGCGCTCAGGAGGAATGGCATGCACAGCTACTGGACCAAGGCACGGCCAGGAGAAGGAGAAGGCACTCGAGGTGGAACGTGTGTCATTACGCGAGGATCCTTGGACGTCCAGGACAGGATCGCGGGCTTCGACGAGCACTACCTGCACGAGGACGGCAGCGACGTCACGGTGGTGATCTCCAACCTGCACAAGGTCCGCTTCGCAGTGGCCTTCGTCCACCTTGAGTGTGGGACGGGCTTTGGAGAGAGGAACGTCGACATCCTCTGCGACCTGCGGGCAAATATGGCCGTCTGGGGAGGGCCATGGGCAGCGCTTGGGGACTTCAACATGACGCCGTCGGAGCTCAACAACAGCATCTGGCCCAGGGTGCTGAATGCTCAAGTAGCAGCGGCGGAGGAGGGCGCCCCCCACGTGCTTCCCAGCAGGAGGCGAAGCCAGGTGCATCGATTTCGCGCTGATCTCGCAGGGCCTGGCGCCGTACTTTGACCAGCTAGAGCTGCTCAGGGCCGTGCCGTGGAAGCCGCACATAGACATCCGCTTGAAGCTGAGAGGGCGGCCTCTAAAGCTCAAGGGCAGGGTACTTCGCAGGCCAGCAGCCATAAAGCCACCAGTCGCAGTTGAGAGAATGCCGAAGTCCAGAGCCGCTTGCAGGCGAGCGGCGCGAGGAGGCCAGGAGGCCATGCGTCGACGTCAGCAAGCGTTGGCAGAGGCAGGATGCGACCAGGAAGAAAACGACATGGAACCAGTGCCGCAACTGTACTACGACAAGGAGGCCCAGCACGTCATCCCTGACGAGCTGTGGCAGGCCACCTCCGAGAGGGTCTGCTTGCGTGTCTACGACGAGTTGCCCCAGCACTTGCAGCACACTGTCGTCGGCAAGATGATGGAGCGGGACATGCTGGATCTGGGGCAACAGTATGACCACTTCGCTAGCACACTCGAGCTCAGCCTGTGCGAGAGCATCGGCATCCCAGAGGAAGAGCGAGGACGTCATCTCGGGCACAGCAGGCCCCCGAGCTACAAGAGCGTGAGCATCAAGGACACCGTCACCTCTACGCCATGGGCAGGGGTTGAAAGGAAGATCCATGCGTGGTGGGCGGAGATCTCCTCCTTGGCGCGGCAGCTCTCGCACCGCGACGCCCGAGCGCAGGAGGCAGCGGCAAGTCGACAGGGCAAGACCCATGCACTTCCCGATGAGGACTCGGGGGGAGGACAGGGCCCGTTGGAGTCGGAGCTTGGCCCCGTCATGTCGGGCAGCCAGGAAGGCCACGAAGAAGGCGACCCTGCACCAGCCTTGAGCCCATCGAAGAGCTCGGGAGGAAGCTCGGAGGAACGCTCCCCCACCGAGCGGGGCAAGGGCCCCCCCGAGCAGCAGCAGCGGAGCGCAGGCAGTGGGGGCGCAGCAGGAGGCGTCCCAGACCTCCACGTGGGGCAAACCCACAGCACCGCAGACAGCTGCCAAGAAGGGATGCAGAGGGGTGCCCTTCCCCCACCAGCAGGGCGCAACTCCATGGACATCCAAGATCACGACCCCTTCGAGGATGAGGAGGATTACTTGGAGTACCGCCAGGAGATCGCAGACCAGGAAAACAGCGATGGGTACCACCAGCACATCGAGTGGCAGCAGGCCAGCCTCGAGTCCAGCCAGACCGCTCGCCGTCGAGCAGCTGGACCTGACTCCCACCCACCAGCAGGATGCAGCACCATGGACGTCCAAGACCACGACCCCTTCGAGGAAGAGGAGGACCGCTTCCAGAACTGCCAGGAGACCGCAGACCAGAAGGACTGCGATGGGTTCCACCAGCGTATCGAGGGGCAGCAGGATGGCAACGGCAACGGCCAGACCGCACGTCGTCAGGCAGCTGGATCTGGTGAAACCGCCCCAGGTGACACGCACTGCTCACCTCCTCAGCCAGCTGGCACTCTGGAGGCAGAGGGTACCGATCACCTGAGGAGTCAGAACCAAGCGCCGCCAAGCCCAGAGGCAGATGAGCAACGAGATATGGGCCTGCCCCCTTCAGACCCCTGGAATGACGACCAACACCAGCGGGAGCGGGAAGACTACGTGGCCATGAGAGACGACCTGGAGTGCTGGGCGGCCATCTGGATGGACAACTTGGTGCAGCTCCCCACGGACAACAGCAACTGGATGCAGATCTGTGTGCCGTTCCTGGAGACCATCCTGGGAGGCGGAGGCAACAATGGCATGGTGAGACTGCTCAGGCGTAGGTGCCAGCAGGCCGGCCTCAGCCACATCATCAGGGACCTCTGCGAGCGAGCATGGAGACATGCAGAACCACGACGCCGAGGCTTTCCCCAAGGACTTGCGCGAGAGGTGCCGACGAGGAGGCACGAATTGGAAATGATGCATTGGAGGGAGCTCGCAAACCTGCGGAGGTTCATGCGAGAAGTTATAGGCGAAAGAGCACCAGAAGGAGCAGCGCGAAGACAACTACATGATGCTCCGGGTACAGGCAGTGGCCAGAGTAGCCGCCGAGAGCAGCAGGTCCGCACACACAGTGGCCGCCAGACGCAGCAGCAGATCAACACAAGACAGCAGCTTGCGCAGCAGCTCAACCAGCCAGACCCAGGCAGGCTGAACGATGAAGGTGCAGCCAAGGACCAGCAGCAGGCCCTTCTCGCAGACCTGCACGCGATAGCAGAGGGCGCCCTTGTGGACCCAGGGACGATCAGCAGGGTAGCAGAGGAGGTAAAGAGCATGGCCAAGCTGCTTACAAAGGCGGTGAAGAAGGCGTACATCCACTGGGTGCACGACGCCACGGCAGGCAGTGCGAAGATGGCCCACGCCTACACCAAAGCAGCGGAGCGCAGCCATCTGGAGGACATCCTAGAGCACGAGGGCCAGGTCATCAACCACCCGCAGCAGCTGGTGGACTTGCGCAAAGAAGCATGGCAACGCAGGTGGACACGAGATGCGCAGAAGGCCGAGAGGATCCAAGAGGCGCTGGCCAAGCTGAGGCAGGCTGCCCTGGCCCAAGCGAATGCCCTCGAGCCCATCAGCAAGGACATCATAGGCTCCATCATCCAGCACCTGAAGAGCAATGCAGGCCAAGGAGCGGACTGGTGGAGGGCTCCAGAGCTCAAGGCCATGGGAGCCCAGGGGCTGGAAGATTTCGTGCAGTGCCTGAACAGCTGTGAGCAACGGGCAGCCTGGCCGTGGCAATTCTACCTGGTGCTGGAGCTGCTGCTGGGTAAGAAGCCAGGAATCGGAGGAGAGCGCCCCATCGGCCTCATGCCCATGCCGTACCGCATCTGGAGCGCAGCCAGGAGGCCCATAGTAGCCACCTGGAGCAAGGCAGCGGCGGGCTTCTGGGATTCGGCAGTAGCTGGCTCCTCAGCGCTACGAGTAGCAATGCACAGACTTATGAGGGCAGAAGCCGCCACGGAGATGGGCTTTCATGCAGCAGGAGTGTTCTACGACGCGGCAAACTTCTACGACAACATAGGCCTCGACCAGCTGATCGAGAAGGCCAGTGCCCTCCAGTACCCGTTGCTGTCGCTGGCAATGGCCGTGCAGATGTACCTTGCGCCCAGAGCCATCATGGCCCACCGCCTTTTCTCTGACATCTTTGAGCCTGCCAACAGCATGGTAGCAGGCTGTGGCCGAGCGGTAGACCTCACCAGACCGCTCTTGTATGGAATCCTGGATGCAGCGCACAGGCACCACATTTTCGTCGTCATGCAGCAGTACCTGGACGACTTGGCCCTGCAGGTAGAGGGCGCGCGGCGGCCGGTCATTGACCAGATCAAGCACGTGGCGGCGCTGGTGCACGATGGTTTCAAGCAGCTCGCGATCCCCATCTCTGTCAAGACGGCAGTGGTGGCCTCGGACAAGGACCTCCAGGCAGAAGTCGCCAGCATCCTGGACAGCCTGGGCACCCCCAACAAGCAACCAGGGGTAGTGCGCGACCTCGGCGTGGACACCAGCCTTGGAAAGCAGCTGCGGCGACCCACCCATGCCGCGCGCCAGGCCAAGGCCAAGCAGAGGGTGGCCAAGCTCAGGGACCTGGCGAAGACGGACGCCAGAGGCGCGGCAAAGGTCTATGCAGCAGGTGCTTACTGCCAGCAGGCTTGGGACTTACCAGCGCATGGCATCACGCCCACGGAGGCGAAGTTGGTCAGGGCAACGGAGGCAGCGCTCCTCACAGGCGGACACAAGGCAGGACGCTGCACGTCCACCATCCTCCTGATCCAGAGGGGTATGCAAGAGGCAGTCACCCGAGCCATCGGCGACCAGATCAAGCAGTTCTGGCTCACCGTAGTCGACCACCCGACGGAGCTCAAGAGGTATCAGAGGGGCTGGCTCCTGCTCTACGCCAAGCTGGGCGCCCTGGAACCCAACCGCAGGTGGCAGCAGGTCAAGGGACCTATGGCAGGGGTCATTGTGCAGTTGCTTGGGTTAGGCTGGATACCGCGACGCCTGGACAGCTGGATCAGCCCAGCAGGTGACGAGTGGGCCTACAAGCCAGATGACATTCCCCACTTCGGCGCGCTCCTGCATGAGGTCCAGCAGAGCGCGCAGCAGCAGCTCTGGCAGCAGGCAGCTGGCCATCGCAGTGGAGAAGGACTTCAGGCTGGAGGCGACCTCTATCAGCTGCAGCGCCACCTGAGAAGAAGGAGGCGTAAAGGACAGCATGCAGAGGCAGCCATGCTGGATACCATAGCGGTGGCGGGCATCTGGACCAGGGAGCGTCGCAGGGCGGCCAACCTCAACCAAGAAGGCGATGACACCTGCGCGAGATGCGGCGAGGCGATAGAGACAGAGGAACACCGCTACTATGCATGCCCTGCCAACGCAGAGATAGGGCACAGCAATGACACCGACTTGGCGAAGAAGGCGAAGGACGCGCTGGACCAGCGGCAGGACCTGCATTTCTGGCTCCGAGGCATCCCGCCAGCGGCCTGGGCAGCCAAGGTCGACCCAGACGAGGACGCGGCGAAGGCGGCGCAGATCTTCTGCACCAGCGAAGAGGCACAAGCTGCAGCCCAGTCAGGGCACAAGGTACGAGCAGACTATGTTTTACGGACGGCTCAGGTGGTGCAGGGGAAACGGCCAGGGACCCCCGCCTCAGACGCTGCGGCTGGGCAGTGGTGGCATTCAGGTTCGACGAACAAGGGCGTCCGCAGGAAGTGGTTGCCTGGTGCGGCACAACCAGGGCACCGCACACGGTGCCACGGGCAGAGCTCACCGCCATGAGCAAAGCCATCGGGTACACCACGGCGGCGACAGCCAGGGGGCTCAACATAGTCAGCGATTGCAAATACGCCCTGGACGCACTCAAGCAGATCCAGGACCCTGAGGATCTGGACTACAGGAGCACGAACTACGACCTCTGGCTCCAGACGAAGCAGCAGCTACATAATAGCACGGACACCATCATGGGCCACTACATCCCGAGCCACCTGATTGAGCACCCAACCGAGCTGGAGAGGTGGAATGGTCCTACCTGGTGGGTCATAGGTAACGAGATGGCAGATAAGTGCGCAGGCTGGGGAGCGGAGCACGGAGCACTGGATCCAGCTATCATCGTGCAGCAGCAGATCAGAGACCAGATCACCATGGCGGTGCAGAACCGACTGCTGGCCATCAACATGGCGGTGACGGTGGAGGACCCCAACAAGGCCCCTCAGCGTCCCAAGGCCAAGCGGCGAAAGCCGCAGACGGCGAGGGACAGGGCAGCCCAGCAGGGGCACGACCTGCGAAAACTACATCCGCGATGGTGGTGTGCTACGTGCCGCAGTGGCCCAGCCAAAGGACAAAGCATAAGAGACTGGTTGGCAGAGGCGGGAAAATGCCTCGGGAAGTACGGCGGCCACCAGGACCAGCACGGCAACGTCAGGCTCGACTTCAAGGCGGTGCAGATCGGCACGCAGGTGGTGCACGGCTCCCACAAGACGCAGTACACCCATGGCTGGCTCTGGTGCGAGAAATGTGGCGGCACCAGCTACATCGGGGACCACAAGAGCAGGATCGCGGCAGGAGTGGCAAGGAAGCTGGCAAGGCCATGTCAGCCCCCAACAGCAGCAGGGCGGCGAGTCTTGGAGGACATGCAGAGGGGCAAGCTGCCTAGAGGAGCTAAGCCAGCAGCAGACCCAGCTGATGAGGGTCTCGACGAGATCACCATGCCAGGTGACTTCAAGCTCGGCCTGAGTAACCACGAGGTGATCGATCTGGACGGGGACAGCTCAGAGGCAGGGGGCCCGCAGCCAGCTCCGCAGCAGCCACCCAGCCATCCGGACTCTGTCGTCCACGCCAGCTTGAGGCTCGTCGACCACATGGAGGGCTACGCAGAGCTGTGGATGAACATGGTCGACCAAGAGGTCTGGGACGATAAGGACGACTGGATGGAGCACTGCGTGCCGTACCTCCTGGCCATCACCAATGTGGGTGGCAGAACGGACACGCAAGAGCAGACCAGGGCCGTCACCGTGCAGGAGATCCAGCAGATAAAGGACTTCTGCGAAGAAGTCTGGCGCAACACGCACCGCACGCGACGGAGGCTCATGACCAGGATGCTTACCCTCCCGTATGGCACATGGCAGCAGGCAGCTAGAGTGCACATGGACGCCTTCCACAACAGAAGGAACAACATCATAGCGCACAGCACCCCCAGCAGTGAGCGCAGGCCGCTGCCGAGAACAGCGGAGGCCAGCCGAGAGTGGTCACCAGAGAACCTGGACGATGATGACTCGACCCCAGACAGTGAAGCCCCAGAGCTGGAGGGTGAGCCGAACAGCAGCCAGGAGATGGAGACCATGGCGGGACCTGATCAGAGGCACGACGCCAACAGCCTGATGCAGACGGCAGTGCAGGTGGCAGTAACGCTGACCAGGCCAGTGGGGCCCGACCTGATGAAGTTCGTGAGCGAAGCTGACGAGGCCGGCTTGCTCCACCCAAGGCTTCGACACAACAAAGGAGAAGCTGACCAGGACCCCGAGCAGGAGGTGGCGTGGCTCGAGAGGAACAGGCTCGAGCAGCTCATGCAGTCGCTGGCAGGCTGTTGGAGCCAGAAAGAGGGCGAGCTGGGCTGGCCATCGTGGCAGGCCGCGTGCGTGCCCCATGTGCTGAGGGCGCTGCAGACTGGCGTCTATCAGAGGCTTTTCAGCCACGTGTCAGGGACGAGCCGCCAGCGCAGCCAGCGCCGAGCGGCGGAGGAGATCTGCCGCCTGGCATGGCTCAACAGCGGAGAGGAGCGCAGACAGATCCAGCAGCAGGACCCGAAGGAGGCAGAGCGGCGCAGAGCAACGGCTGAGCAGATCCTGGGCGTGACTGAGCCAGAGGTGAGGAGCCGCAGCCCGCGACCGCAAGCAGCAGGGCGAGTACCAAGCAGGGCTCCAGCCAGACAGCCGAGGAGGCCCCTGTGCGGAGAGGGGACAGGCCACCATGGACCCCTGCGCGGCGAGGGGTTAGGCCGAGGAGGACCCCAGCGTGGCGAGGGGTTAGGCCACAGCCCTGCGCCAGACGGGATGCAGAGGGGTGCCCGTCCCCCACCAGCAGGACGCAGCACCAAGGACATGGCAGACCTCGACCACTTCCCTGAAGAGGAGAACAGAGAGGATAGCCCCCAGCAGGCCGTAGACAAGCAAAGCAGCGATGACAACCACCAGCAGTTCCCAGATGTACAGCACAGCATAGGGTACCACCTGGCAGACTGCAGAGGACCCCAGCGTGGCGAGGGGTTAGGCCACGGAGGACCCCAGCGCGGTGAGGGGTTAGACCGCAGATCCAAAGACAAGCAGAGGATCGAGGCGGAGGTCCCTGACGAGCCCAGTGAGCATGACGCGGAAGTCTTGACCAACAGTGTGGTAGACAGGACCTCGCAACTAACAGAGCGGACCCATACCCTGGGAAACCGACAGACTGAACGCGAGGGGGAGGGCTTGGCCCGCGGATACCACGTGAACCGCGAACACAGCGAGTGGCATAGTCGGGGGACCTCGCCTGAGCCAGTGTGCAGCAGCACCGAGGATGGGGACAGTGCGAGACTCGGCGCTCCCCCGCGTGGCGAGGGGTTAGGCCACACAACAGCGCAGCCTGAGAAGGCTGCAGACTACGACGACACAGACCTGCAGCGGGACTTGAATAAGATCGTCGGCGACCCACCCCAGCGCGGTGAGGGGGTAGACCGCAAGGCACCCCTGCGTGGCGAGGGGTTAGGCCACGGAAATCCCCTGCGCGGTGAGGGGGTAGACCGCAGGACCAAAGGCAAGCAGAGGCTTGAGGCGGAAGCCTATGACGTGCCCAGTGAGCAAAACGCGGACCTTTTGACCAACAGTGTGGTAGACAGGACCTCGCAACTAACAGAGCGGACCCAAACCCTGGGAAACCGACAGACTGAACGCGAGGGGGAGGGCACGGCCCGCGGATACCACGTGACCCGCGAACACAGCGAGCGGCAAAGTCGTGGGACCCCGCCCGAGCCAGGGGGCAGCAGCTCCGAGGACGGGGACAGTGCGAGACGCGGCGTACCCCCGCGCGGTGAGGGGTTAGACCGCAGCAGGCCCCAGCGTGGCGAGGGGTTAGGCCACGGAGTACCCCAGCGCGGTGAGGGGTTAGACCGCAACGATCCCCAGCGTGGCGAGGGGTCAAGCCAAGGAGGACCCCACAGTGGAGAGGGGTCAGACAGCAGCAGGCCCCCGCGCGGCGAGGGGTTAGGCCACAAGGGACCCCAGCGCGGTGAGGGGTTAGACCGCAACAGGCCCCTGCGTGGCGAGGGGTTAGGCCACGAAGCACCCCAGCGCGGTGAGGGGTTAGACCGCAGCAGCCCCCAGCGTGGCGAGGGGTTAGGCCACGATATTCCCCAGCGCGGTGAGGGGTTAGACAGCATTGACCCCCAGCGTGGCGAGGGGTCAAGCCACGATGGGCCCCAGCGCGGTGAGGGGTTAGACCGCAACAGACCCCAGCGTGGCGAGGGGTTAGGCCACCACGGAGCACCCCAGCGCGGTGAGGGGTTAGACCGCAACAGGCCCCTGCGTGGCGAGGGGTTAGGCCACGGAGCACCCCAGCGCGGTGAGGGGTTAGACCGCAGCAGCCCCCAGCGTGGCGAGGGGTTAGGCCACGAGTTTCCCCAGCGCGGTGAGGGGTTAGACCGCACCGACCCCCAGCGTGGCGAGGGGTTAGGCCACGGAGGACCCCCGCGCGGCGAGGGGTTAGGCCGCAACGCGCCCCAGCGTGGCAAGGGGTTAGGCCACAGCTCTGCGCCAGGCAGGGCGGTCGAGAAGGCCCACGAGCCCAGGGGCCAGCAGCCAGGGCGGTCCCTGGAAGAGCGCAGAGCGGAGGAGCGGCTGCGGCCGTCCATCAGGCTGCTCCTCAAGCTCTGAGTGGGCAGCGGCAGCATTTCTTCAGACTGCCGCTGCTCACGGGGCGACTCCATGAGTCACAGAGTGGCGGCAGTAAGACGCCGTGAGATGAGGCCGCTGGCCCACCCCGCCTCGGGCCTTTCGGCCTGCGCGGAGT